TGGTAATAGCGTTGGGGCTAACGCTAAAGCTAACAGGCTAAGCTGAGGTTCTTCTTCCATTAAGCAGCTCTGTTGTCCTCCATCCGCCCACAGTATTTTTACAGTTTTTACTTTACAGTTAAAATAAATGTTTATCAAATAAAGTCTAATGTTACAACTAATCATGGATCACTTTAAAAGATGCAACAAATGGATCCACGTCCAGACGTTATTTCTGTCAGATTTACGCTGACCGTCCCCTCTGTCCAGGCTCAGCGGTCTGTCTCCGTTCCTTGGGGACGACGACAACGAGACGCTCAACAACATCCTGTCCTGCCAGTGGAACTTCGAGGAGGAAGAGTTCGCCGACATTTCCGACGAAGCTAAGGACTTCATCACGCGCCTGCTGGTGAAGAGCAAGAGCTGGAGGATGAGCGCCACCGAGTCCCTCAGGCATACCTGGCTGTCGGATCAAAACCTGCACCACCGGCTACACCAGAAGGTAAAAAAACTGCCTCGGGCAGTGATTCTTTAGGAAAGGATTCAAAGTTTTTATTGTTATCTGCACAACTGGAAACATGTTACTCTGAGCAATGAAATTCTTACTATGCTGTCCACAATGGATGCCTGGGGAAACAAACAAAAATAATACATATTTAAAAATGTTACAAATAAGAGAAAGAGATCTGGGTTCACGTGTAAAAAAGAAAACAGACCAGAAAAAGTGTTGTTTTTTTTTTGTTTTTACCCTAAAATCAATCTTTAAAAATTGTTTTTTAATGAACCCTGATCAAATTGAACACCGAGCACATTTTAGTTCTACTTTTTACTAAACGTGTTTTCGGTCTTGTTGCAGAAAAACAAGTGCCACACCACGCACGCTCCTCCCTCTGACAGCTGAACAGGTGACATTATAGTTGGTATTTTTCGTAACAGGATGAATTCTGAGACTGCTTTAAGTTTTACCAGGTGAACAAAAAACATTTTGTTTGTGTCTTTTTTTAGAAAGATGGCGGCTCTCGGTGTTTGYGATATTGAAGGGCTTCCRGGGCCCAACACTTGGACCAATACTGCTGTACCTGTATGGCCCCTGGGTTATTCTCTGCCTCACGTTTTTTACCTTTGCAGCGCTGCACATCATACGGGTCTGAGCTGGAAATAAGGACTTTTTTATGGCGGGGTATTAGGGCCAAAATTAAGATTATTGCGCAACCAGTGGTTGCTACGTCCTTGTAGCAGGAGGCTATCTCTGTACCTAATCCAGCTATTGATCTGATTAATGATAGGCCGGCACCGCTAACTGAGAGGCCGGGGCTGGCAAATGAGAAGGAGACTATTCAATTGTGTTAGCATCGGAGAGGCTAGCAACTAACCCATAGAAGCTGGCGTTAGCATCGGAGAAGCTGGCGTTAGCATCAGAGAGGCTAGCGACTAGCATCAAAACCTATAAACTCCATGCACTGACAGATGTTTCTTCAACAGAATTTACTGTTCAACATGACGTCAAGCATAAATATTAAGCATAAAACATGTTACTGTGAAGCAGACAAAGCTGTGTTTGCTCGTCTATTGGTTGACTGAGGTGTTTTTTATTTATTTATTTTTACTTTAGTAGAATTATAAGAAAAGCCAGAACTAACAAGTTGGGGCTTTTTTACAGTTTTTGACAGCATATTAAATTAGGCTTCTTTATATTAATTATATTTTATAAAATCATATACAGATATTTGTCATAATTTGGCTAAAGAGAAAAAAACGCTAACCTATTCACGCTAGTCGCTAGCCTCTCCGATGTTAATGCCAGCTTATCCATGCTAGTTTCTAGCCTCTCGAATCTTAACACCAACCTATCCATCTATCCATGCTAGTCTCTAGCCTCTCCTATGATAATCCCAGTTTATCCATGCTAGTCTCTAGCTTCTCCTATGCTAATGCCAGCTTATCCATGCTAGTCTCTAGCCTCTCCTATGCTAATGCCAGCTTATCCATGCTAGTCTCTAGCCTCTCCTATGCTAATCCCAGTTTATCCTTGCTAGTCTCTAGCTTCTCCGATGCTAATACCAGCCTATCCATGCTAGTCTCTAGCCTCTCCTATGCTAATCCCAGTTTATCCATGTTAGTCTCTAGCTTCTCCGATGCTAATACCAGCCTATCCATGCTAGTCTCTAGCCTCTCCTATGCTAATGCCAGCTTATCCTTGCTAGTCTCTAGCCTCTCCTATGCTAATGCCAGCTTATCCATGCTAGTCTCTAGCCTCTCCTATGCTAATGCCAGCTTATCCTTGCTAGTCTCTAGCTTCTCCGATGCTAATACCAGCCTATCCATGCTAGTCGCTAGCCTGTCTGACGCTAACACCAGCTTGTCCATGCTAGTCTCTACCTCTCCGATGCTAACACAAATGTCTCCTCATTTGCCAGAGCCAGCCTCTCAGTATTTGGTGCCGACCTATCATAGTCTTAATTTTGGCCCTCATACCGCACCATACCTTTTATCATCTGTTTGCAGAGTTTTTAGAGCACAGAGCTTTTTCCTGCACCAGCAATGACTCAAATAATATCTAAGTACTTTAAAATACTGCTACAAGTGTCACTTTTATGAGTATACGTCACTTTTATAATATCTGAAAGTTACGTTTGTTGTTGCAAAAATCCAGTTTGTGTTTTGCATGCTTTGCACCTCTTTTATTTTTTTTACCACTTTCTCCCTAAAAACATTGTATAGAAAATCTAATAATTTTCAAGTCTTATCACAGAGTTAAATATAAGGTGTTTCAAATTAAATCCCTCAYCTCATTAATTTATTTTGTATATATCAGCACAGCTCGTCCCTGAGCGTTTCTCAGTGAATGAATCATTGTTTGTGCAACATTTTGAGCTCTTTTGTGCGTCTTTTATTGTCTGCATCCATGTTGTTTTTAGTTTGGGCAGTTTGGAGAACCCGTCACCTTCCATGAAGGCATAACAAACAACACGTAGTGTTCTTTTACCTGCTGGCTCAACACCAGACCGTACTTGAAGTGCAAAGCTTTTTATTCAACATGTTTTTACGTAATTAAAACAACGTTACACGCGTGAAGCTCATCATGCAAATGCACAGTTCAGGTTGATGAAGAGCCGACGTCGTGTTTCAGAAAGTTGCCTGCGAGTACGCTGCTTGGCCGTCGGCTCTTCCATGTTGAATAAAAAAGGTTTGTGTTTTAAATTTATTTTTTCATTAGGATTTATTACACCGTTGTCAAGTTTTCTTCTGGACTTATGTGTTTTGAATAAATGTAGAACATGAATACTTTAATAAATGATGCACAAAGTCTATGTTTTTCTGTGTTTTATTTTTCTGCACAATTTTTCGACACGTGACCCATTTTTGCAATTTTTGTTATTTCAACAATTTACATATCAAAACTTTTAGTTCCTTTAGGACATTCAGGCTGTAACTTTTTTTAAATATTTATTTGTTTTTTTGTAGATCTGTAGCATTTTATGCATTTTTTTTCCTCATTGAAAATGAATGGAGCTGTCTTCAACATCCTTTAAAATATTCACAAATCTTTCCTGCAGTTTTTGCCTTTTATTGTCATTTCTTTGTGCTAATTTCAGCTTCCTTCTGCTTCYTTTTTGCTAATTTTAGCTGTTTTCATCTATTTTTCAAATTTTTACAGTTATTTAAAGCTTTTTAAGCCTTTTCAGCCTCATTCTGCTGTTTTCTGCCTTTTCAGTCACTCTTTTGCTGTTTTTTTTTTTTTTTTTGCTATATGAAGCTTTATTCATCTAGATTCACATTTTGGTGGTCGTTTCAAACTTTCCTTAGCTTGACATTAAATGGTTACAATACACGCAGTAAGAGATGCTGTACATAGAAATGGATGTAAATAAAACAAAATAAAAATATATAAATATTAGGGCTGTCAAATGATTAAAAGGTAGCTGTGAATTAATCACGATTAATCTTAAACTTAATATAAAAC